GGTTCAAAAAATGTGTAGATAGGGCACTTTGGGATATGGTTAAGCAGACATGGTAGTATTGGGTCAATCGTTGGACTTGATGATCTTTGAGGTCTTTTCTAGCCTTAATGATTCTATGGTTCTATGACAAGAGGAAGTGAGAAGGCAAAGCCACCTGTAAGCTGGAAGGCCACAAAAACAAACTGAGGGAGGAGACAGCTGCTCGGAAAGGATCACTGCTTCCTCACTAATCGATGGTATGGATCCATCCACCTCCAAGCCCAGTGCTTCTTTGTGACTACTGGGGCGATGACCGTAGTTGGGGTTGGGTCAGTATCTCATCCATAGCAGCCCCAGGGGTGGTCTGTGTCCCTGTCTCAACCGTGGCCCTCCCATGGTGCTGAATGGAGGCATGACAGGCAGAAGCCAAGTCGCAGCAGAGTTACGAGAGGTCAGGGTCTCCCTGAGGTCAGCAGGGCCAGGGCAGCTCAGCTGGTACGGCATGGGACACTTCATCACAGAGTCATGGGTTGAAGCCCATGGAGGAGGGAGAAGGTGTTTCTATCTTTGCTGCTCGCCACCCTATTCTACTTCCAATCAGCAACAAATTTCTGCCAATTAAAGTGAATTAATCAAATTAAATTAATTTTCCCTAACTTGTATCTGTTTTGCCCGCAAGAGTAATTGGCAAGTGATTTCCCTGTACTTACCTCCAGCCACGAGCTACTGCAGCTTATTCCTCCCCTCCACCTTCCCGAGGAGGATGAGTGAGAGAGCGGCTGGGTGGGTGCCTGGCAGCCAGACAAGGCCAGCCCACCACACATGGGAAGAAAATTAATAACTTTGTTCCCTTAATACTCTTTTTTATTTAGGGTGACATCTTGTTCTTGTTATTTTGGAATTAGATTTCTTGAAGTGCAGAAGGGTTTTGAAAACCCCACTATGCGAATCTGCTGCGGAAATCCGCTGATTTCACTACCGCATCTTTAAAGCATTTTCTAAAATGTGTACCCTATCCCTAAAAACTGTATTTGCTTTGGCTGCCTCACTGCTCAGCACTGGTAAAAACGCTTCCCGCTAATGTGCACGACACGGATGCGCAGAAGGGCTGGCTCTGTATTCAAACAGCGGCTTTGGTCAGGGGTGAGTGATTTCATTTGAAATGCCGCTGCTTTATCACAGCTGAAACTCAGCTCAAAGAATATTTAAAAACTCTTCTCCGACAGTCAGTGCTGCTCCAGTAGCTCAAACAGTTGCGCCTTTCAAGCTGGATTTTAATCATTTGATATAAATCAGCACTTGAGTTATGCAGTGAAAGCACATGGGTAGCCCTTGAAAGCGTCAGAAAGCACAACGTATGGCTGAGTGCCGCTCAGCAGGGTGGGACAGATAGCACGACACCCGAAGCACGGCCCGAGGAGGAGCAAAGTGCAGGCAGAAGACTTGCCCATCCACCACCTGATGCTGCTTTGGCGGTACTGGTCAAACCAACGTGGGGACATTTTAATTTCAGTTTAAGAATGGTTAAATTTTTTCTTCATTGACTTAATGCAAGACAAAGTTAAGTGTTTGAAACACGGATGCCCAGAAAGGAATCTTCCTCTCTTTGAACAAATCAGCCTGATTTCCAGCGAGTTTTACAGAGAGCGGGTGCATCTCCTGGTGGGGTGACCATGGACAATGATGTGGCCTCAGAAGGGCAGTCAGGTACCGTGACACACAAGGGTGGCATCAGAGTCTGGACAGGCGGGACACAAAGAAATGCCATGGGAAGATGGAGATGAAAGCCACATGCTTCCACTCACCACATGTTCACCTGTGCTTGGGGTAAGGACCAAAAGGGACTTGGTAGGTGACGGGCACTGTCCTCCTCTCTGCAGCAGGCTGGCCATCTAACGTCAGCCATTACTTGCCACCGAAAGGATTGTCAAGCACTGGACCAGGCTTCCCAGGGAAGCAGTGGAGTCCCCATCCTTGGGGGTGTTTAAAAGACGTGCAGATGTGAGGCTTGGGGACTTGGCTTAGTGGTGGACTTGGCAGTGCTGGGTTAATGGTTGGGCTTGACGAGCTTGAGGGTGTCATCCAACCTTAGTGGTTCTGTGATTCTGTTCTATTCTATGATTCTTTTCCCTTATGGGTGTACGTTACAGTCCCAGCACAGACTTTGGTAGGAAGCAACTGTAATTTAGTTTTTCAGTTTTGTTCAGTGCGACTACTCTTTCCTTACACAAGAATATTTTCCTGAAATTTTAACCTAAAATCATGATTTATTGTCACTTTTTGTGACTCACTCATAAGTTGCAAAAAATAAGAAAGAGAGAAGGAATAGATTTTTTTTATGTAGCTTTTTATCGGATGGGGCTCTGAGCAATGTAATCCAGCTGAAGATGTCCCTGCTTGCTGCAGGGGGGTTGGGCTAGATGACCTTTAAAGGTCCCTTCCAACTGAAACCGTTCTACAGTTCAGTGATTCTATGATACAGCTTTTTGTACAGCTCTGAGTGGGGTTTAATCTGTTTACCCACGTATTTTTACTCTCCTCTCATGTATTCATGCTCTCTGCTCTTTCCGGTCTTTTCTCTTTTTCATCACACTTGAAATGGAACACGAAAAGGAATAACACTCTATAAGAGACATTGAAATTAATTAACGTACTTAGTCTTCTAAAAAGACTTCTACAAACCCACCCTCTTTAAGCTGTGTAATGAAAATTGTAACTTTGAACTCTTAGAAGTGTTTTCACCAACGCTAAATATTATTTATGCTGTTAGTAAAATATGTCAACAACTTATTTGGTCCTCAGTTAGGTATTTATTGAAGAGCTTGCAAGTGAGGACAATAAAGTCTCTTACTGTAAGTAAATTATTATTAAAAGCATAACCTAAAGATGCAGAGTTTAAAAACGTTGGGTTTTATATCTACGTAGCTGAAGTTGACAAAATGTCCCTCTAAAACCTGCCCTTTCTTTGATCACCTCTGCTACCTCTATTGCGAACAAACAGGATATGAACCTGCAACTGTGCCACTTTCCATGGCCCGCAGTAAAATACTTTGGGGGGGACCTTGCCTCTTTCACATATTGACATTATTGCTGTTTTTCTGGGGTTTTCTGCCTCTCCTACAGCCCTGCCTATGCATTTTCCAGGCTTTTTGCTTGAATTAGTTTCAGCGGCAGAGTAAACAGAATTAGCCAGGTTGCCACAAATGGATGGTTGTTCACCAACTGCTTCCTGCTTGCCCGAGAGCGTGCAGCAGGTGATGCCAGCTGTCATTAGGCCCCTATTTAACCGCACGTATGGCTGGGAGGGCATGTTTGTGTTTCATTTGTACAGATATGATTAGCTGTTCTCAGTGTTCGTCTGCCGTAAAACTGAAGATGTGTCATGCGCTATTACCCAAGCAAATGTAATGCCCCCAAAATAAACATGCCCCAATAGTTTGCAGGCAGTAATTGACACAAAAACAGGTGTTTCCCATATTCTGTGTGATTGCCTACACATATGGCTTCTTTTGTACTATCCCTCAATCACTTCGTAGCGTTGGCTCCTGCAGAAAAAGAAATAGTGTTACCGAAAAAGAGTGGGTTTCAAGAGTGTTCTTTGGTCCACAACGATTTCTTTCAGAGCACGGCTTGCAGTGGTCGAGCCTTTGCACCGAGATGTGGTCTCATCCCCCTCTGCCAGTTCCGCAGCAGGGTGCAGGGACGCAGTGACACGTTCAGGACGTGTTCCTCCTGCCTCGTAGACAAGCCTCTTCTGGCTTCCCACAGCGATGGCTTATCGTCTGCCCATGAAGGACAACCAACATTTTAACATAATTCAATTTAAATGCTCAAAGAATGCTCTGCAGGTAGAGAAAAAACTTAGTTTCATTTTGCAAAATCAAATGGGTCAACTTCATGAAGAGACATCAGAGATGAATTTGCTCTCTGGCTTTTGCCTTGTGACTGGTTCAAAACGAAATGTCATTACACAATACCCTTCTCTATCAAAAATATTCTTTCAAAATAATAAGATGATAAAATGATGGCATTCCCCTGAAACCTTTTGATATTTTTCTGCAGATAAATTTATTTCACCTGCCTTTCGTTTTCCTCATGCTCTGTTCCTGTTTATCTCTGCTCTTTCATTATTTGCCTCAGCAAGGAAGACGATCGCCGCTCTCCTACGAGGTGCACAAAGATGAAGGAACGCGACTTTATCTCTTTATAGCTTCCCGGGGTGCTTTCGTTTCCGTGACAGCTTCCTCACCTCACGAGCTGCAGGGTTTCATGCCTGCGCTTCCCACCTTGTGATCGATATATTCCTCAGGGTACCGGCTGCTGCGGAGAGGCGGTGCAGCTTTCGAGCCCTGCAGCCTTCTCCCTGTGGTGGATTTTGGCTGGCTGCGTGGCTCTGGACCTTCCCACCTTGTGATCGATATATTCCTCAGGGTACCGGCTGCTGCGGAGAGGCGGTGCAGCTTTCGAGCCCTGCAGCCTTCTCCCTGTGGTGGATTTTGGCTGGCTGCGTGGCTCCGGACGGGTTTGTGACCAGCGTGGCCGTGGTGAAGCCACATGGGACCAGCTGCTGGGAGCAATTCCCACGGTGGCCTCAGACCCTACAGCTCCTCCCGGGACCTCTTTCCAGTACAGCCCACTCCCCGTTACCACGTCCCACAGCAGTCAGGAGCAGGTGTCCGGAGCGATGCCACAGCAGTTAAGCAGAGAGTTGGGCTCAAAAATGTGGATTTGTGCTTTGAGTGAGAATTGCTAGGTCTAAACGTGTTTGCCCTACTAATGAGCAAGGAAACTGAAACATAGAATCGCAGGGTGGTTTGGGTTGGAAGGGACCTTCAGAGGCCGTCTAGCCCAACCCCCTGCAGCGAGCAGGGACATCTTCAGCTGGATCAGGGTTCTCAGAGCCCTGTCCAGCCTGGTCTCAGATGTCTCCTGGAATGGGGCATCTGTGATGGCATAGCGTGTCACACAGAAGTGCTTGGCTTTTCACAAACAGCCTGTCTCTCTTGGACATCTTTCTGAAGGATCAGAAATGCAGGTACAAAAGCACAGCCATGGCCTGAAACTCTGACATGTCTTTTGACGATGAGGAAGAAAAAGCTAATCCCAGGCAGGAGGGGGCTGGAACGTCGCCTTTGGCTACGGTGGGGCTAAGTCTTCAAGTCGGGTGTGTAAGAACATTTCCAATCCCATTTTCATCCAGACGTCCTGGAATAAGTTGCCGAACACTAACACGAAGTTCTTCAGAACACCCCTGCAAGCAAAGTGTGCTACAGGGGAGGCATCCAGAACACAGACAGATGAAGACCTGTATTTATAGTTGCTGAAGGAATATGAGATTTGAGACAAGACTCCTGCCCCGTGGGTTCTGATTTTAAGTTCATTTACACTGCTGTAAACATACTTTTCTTAATAAAAAATTATTTTAGGAGAATTACTGATGATTTACACCCTCGCTAGGTGAAAATTATTCACGGCTGTCCTGGGCTACAGCCCTTTGTGGGTTAGGTTTCCATATTCAGTATCACACACTGTATTGATGGACATCTTACGTATGTGCAAGAAAACATTTTGCACTTGGTCTATAAGAAGACACTTCAGCTTGGGGAACGTAATGATTCCCACTCAGCTGCCACCCACCGAAAAAACCTCAAGAGCTGCTTCACTAACAATCCTCCACCAGAAGCAAAGAGGTCCTTAGCGAGACATAGATCCCCTAGAATCATGTTTATCTTGAATATCATGTTAAACTGGAACTATACAGCAGAAATTATATTTTTATAATTGGTCTTGTGTTTTTTTCTGATTTTAGACTCAGGCAGAATACCACTGGGCGCACTGGGGGCTAAATAAATCTTTCACTGATAAACAACAAACCTAAATTTTTTATGGAGCATGAAACAATTATCTTTGACTCCACCTGATGCTGCCGAGCAAGCTGTTCCTTTTTATTGTGCTGTTATTAGGTGGGAACGTAGTGGGTTGGACAGCATCCTCTGTTAACGGATGGGCTGACCAAGCCTGTGTAGCACATAGCTCATTCTGTAGCACAGCTCGGGGCTCCGTACACAGCCCATCCAACTCAAGTCCTGAACAGAAGGGGATCCCAATAAATAAACAGGCATTAATGAATTAATCATTCAGAAAAGAGTACTGAGATTTTCAAAACACTCTTAGGGATGTAGATGTTCTCAGTGCTACTAAAACTTGGGAATTTAAATCGCCGTCATACTTACATCTGGCTCTCTTGTCATTTCTGTGCACAGACAATGTTTCTGCACAGTTGCTTAATACAAAATGCAAAGTTCAAGCCAAGCTGCAGCCTCAGTGACGGGAAATGAGAGGTAAAAAGCTCTCTGTGTTTTAAGCAGAACAGCAGTGGTAAAACTGATATGGGAAAACCCGCGTGGACCCAGAAATCGCTTGGTGAGACAACCGCATTGAAAGAAAGCCTCACAAACACATCGCTAAGCATGGAGCGGAGGGATCTTCAAGGCATCTGTCCAGGAAAGTGAAGGAAATAAATGTTTGGCAGTGAACGCTGAGAAAACCCTGCAGCAAATACAATAAATTAAAACGAACAGAAAACACACGTCCTAGTCGCTGGCCTGACTTTGACAAACCCTGTCCTGTCCCCACACCGTGCTGCAGAAAGCAAGTATGGGTGAATGCCGGGATGGTGCTGCAGTGTCACTTTACTGGTTTATTATTATTTGTTTTTATTCTATATTGATACCTATTGATGTTCTATTGGCGTTTCTGGTATACTTATTTCATTCTCACCGTTTTTCCCTTCCCTTGATCCATTCCGACTCCTGTTCTTGCGGGGTCCTGTAGAAGCCACGGCCCGTTATTTCAGCCGCGGTGGTCGCGGTCCCCTCGTCCCACCGGGAGCACGCCGGCCCGCGGCAGGCCGTCCGAGCCCCGCGGCAGGCTGTCGGAGCCATACCTGCCCCGGCACAGTGATCTCCAGGGCTGAGATCCCAGGGGCTGGAATGCCGGCCTTTGGCAGCATTTTCCACCCCTCGTTGTTTTGTATTTATGTTTTCCATTACCTTCCTATCTCAGCAGGTAACAACAAGGAGGGCAGGCACATCCATCACTCTGTAACACACAGAAGGAAACCAGTGCTAAAGCTCGGCTCTGCGGTTTAAAAGCAACTTCTTAAAATTTCCAGAGTGAAAGCTGGAAGAACCAGGCACCGAAATACAGTCAGCTATAGACTGAGGCTGCCGACAGGTTCTGTGTCAGGCGCAGAGCGCTGAGGGAACACCGGGAATTTTTTAAGAGGCGTTTTCTGGCAGGTGGGGGAAGACGATGCAACGGCAGTAGGAAAGCTGAATAAAACGGCAGGGGCTGGGGAGACGCGGGCGGGAAACATGGAAAAAAAAATTAAAAA